AATTACCATGTCTTCTTGTTAAGTGGTTGTATATATATCTTGAACACATGATAAATCATTTCATCCATGCTGCTAATTAAAAGCTAGCTTCTGGTATTGATGAGAACTGTCTGTAGTAGGGAATGTGGGCTTCTGACTAGAGTCCACGTAATGATCAGGGAACACCCCTTGGAGGAGAGTTTTCAATTAAGATACCAAAAAATTTATCTTCCTGTATCTAGCATGTAAATTATATGCTACATGGTTGGTGCTGAGGTATTTTGAATGGCAAACAATATAACAATATAAACTTTTAAATATTACTAGTGCTCCTTCTATAACATTTGTTAAATACATAATGATGCAGAGTGAAATTACCTTGTCTTGTGCCCAACAATTACTTTCACTATGGAAACCATTTTTATATGTAGGAAACATACATATTTCATCATATTTATTGTAGGTATTTTATTATATTCACATAATGTATTCTTATGCTTCAAATGACTACCTGGTTAGATAGATATTTGCCTGACTATATCAAGTTCATTCATTTTGCCTGAAAGATACTCATGATTGTGTTAACCATTGAAAACTGAATCCTGTTTTGTGATGTAACAAATGATGATAATTATTTTCTTCTCCATGTTTATGTAAATGTAATTCTTATTGAGGAAAATCCATGACAGATGTCCTATGGAATAGACGTATAGAGGAGGAATTGACCATCTTGGCCAAGGAAATGGATGTTGACTTGAGGTTGGCTCCCTTAGTGATGACTTGGACACCTGAGTTGACAGATAGGGAGATTTTCATTCATCAGCAGTGGAGGGGAAGTGGTTATGGGGTGGATTTTCTAGTTAATGTATACACTGACATGTTTGGGTAGTAATTTTCCAGCCAATTTTCTGTGTCTTCTGTTTTCCTTGTGTTGACTTCCTATAGAATCTCCTAATGAAAACTGTTTTTTTTTTAACCTTAAAAATATGTTCTTTAGTACATTAATCTATAATTTAAAAATCAAATTCATAAAGGGATTTTCTACTAGCAGAGCTTAAATTCTGATGAAGTGTAATATTAGGCCTGCCTTTGTACAAATCATGAAATTGCCTTTGGTAGATGGGAGAAGAATGGAGGAAAATAAGTGTTATTTTAAATGTTAATATCAGCTGAGTTTGTGTCCCATCTTCCTAATTTCTACTGGTGTCTAGATTAATCTACTGTATCATATCAGTTTACAGAGGGATAATATTGAATCAAGCATATGGATCTGAACTCATCTCCCTAATAGCACAATCTCTTCATCAACTTTCACTCTCCTATGAGAATCTCATTCTCATGACTAGTACTTTGTGTACAATATTTCACCCCAGGCTTCAGCATGAATAAACCTCAAGGGAGCTCTTTATCAAGTCAACATTCATTGTTCAAAAGGATTGTACTTTTCAGTATTGTCTCAACAACACCCTCTATCCCTGTGGTCTTTCATCTTTTTCAAATAGTCAGTTTAGAAAACCTATTGGAGTGGTTTCACACAAGCCGATTGACTCTGTTGGCTTTATTGCTGGAAACAGGCCTGAAGCTTTACCAGTTGTCTTCGTTAGACTGTGAGTATGTGTATTTATTTAATAGAAAGTATCAGGTATATGTAAGTATCCTACAGAATTCTAAGGAATGGAATGCCAGGAGGACATGATGGGATGGCAAATTCTGAGCTTGAATCATAGACTCTACAGCTGGTGGGAAAGTAGGCAGTTCAACTAGACCTCCATTACAATATAATGGCTGTGAGAGACAGGCTGCGTGGGACTGTAGCAGGAAATACCCAGACTGTCCATTTCATGACAATTGTTCTTTGAGAATATGAAGCCTTTTACAGCTGACTAGTTTGGGTGGGTCTTCTACTTTTCCATCTGTTGCCAGCTGACATCTATGGTGATATCTTGATCGTACAAATAAAGCCTGTGTGAAGGTCAGAGATTAGAGCTTGCTACAGGCTAATCATAGAGGTTTGGAGGGCTGTACAGATAGGAAGTGAGATACCTGAGCAAAAATAGGATATAAGCAGGGAGAAACAAAAATTCTTTCTCTTGTCTGCGGAAACACTGAGGAGGTAAGTTGTGGAGGTGGCTTGCTTCTTCTCTCTGATCTTTCAGTGTTTCCCTCTATACCTGACTCTGAGTTTTTATTATCTAGACTAATTATCTCCATTTACAGACATCTATGCTGAGGAGCTGGATATGATATCTCATGGTCTGATTTTTTAATTTATATGTCTTATGCATGTGTCTTAGGGTTTTATTGCTAGGAATGTCACATAACCATGGCAAGTCTTTTAAAGGAAAACTTTAATTGGGGCTGGTTTAGTCCATCATTGTCATGACGTTTTGCAATGCAGACAGACATGGTGCTGGGGAGGTAGCTGAGAGTTCTATATCTGTATCCACAGGAGGGAGAGAGAGAAAGAGAGAGAGAGAGAGAGAGAGAGAGAGAGAGAGAGAGAGAGAGAGAGAGAGACAGAGACAGAGAGACAGAGAGACAGAGAATAAGCCTATCTTGATCATTTGAAACCTCAAAGCCCACCCATAGTAACATGTTCCTCTAACAAGGCCACACCCACTCTAACAAGGCCACACTGCCAAATAGTGCCACTTCCTATGAGCCTATGAAGGCAATTTCAGCCAAACTGTCACATTCCATTCCCTGTTCTCCTCCATGGGCTTATAGTCATACTATAATGCAAAAGCACATTCAGTTAAACTTCAGTATGTCCCTTCTATTATACTCTATCACAGTCTCAACACTATTTACCAATCCAAAGTTCAAAGTCTCCCGAGACTCATGGCAATCTCTTAATGTAAGCTCTGCAAAATCAAAATGCAAAAACAGATCACATACTTCCAACATACAATGGCACAGGATATATATTACCATTCCAAAAAGAAGGAAATAGAGCATAGTGAAAAATTATTAGACAAAAGCAAGACACAAGTGTCAAACTCCAAACTGTACCTCCATGACTGAATTCAAAGGGCTCTTCTGGTCTCCAACCTCTTTCAGTGCTGTTAACTTCAGCACCCTTCTTTTTCATGGGCTGCTTCCACACATGGAAACTTTCCTTAGCAGGTATCCCACAACTCTGGCATCTCCATATCTTGGGGTTTCCAAGGCAAGCCAAGCTTCACATTTACAGCTTCATGCAATGGTCTCTCTAAGCCTCCATGAAAGACACCCCTGACTATACCTGACCTCAGTGGCTTTCCTTAGTTGCAGAGGGAGATTTCATAATCCCTTTCCTGTATCCTTGATTCTTAGTCCATAACCATGTGGCTGAAGCTGTCAAGTTCTGCTGCTTGCTGGAGCTGAAGCATGGTCCCCTTGTTCAAATATATTTTCAACATCTTTCTGTTCTCAATGACTTTGTTTACTATCTAAGCTCAGTTGTTTTGGAACTCTTCTCTGTAGACAAGACTGACATCCAATTCAGAGATCTGTGTGCCTCTGCCTTCTAGAATTAAAAGCATGTGCTACCACACTAGCCTTAAACCTTTCTTTAATTCCTTTTCACAAATTGGAAGTTTGGCTGGGTGTCTTAACCTGAGGTCACCACTCTCTTTATTCCATTTAGGTTCTGTCTTTTCTTTAATCTTTTTCCTGGTGTTCTTTTGCTCTTCAAACTGTACATTTTGTATTTTTCCTTTTGTAGCTTGCTCATTTTCATTATAGATTAGCATAAGACTGGCTAATAACCACAAAACACAGTCAATACTAGGCTGTTTTGAAATTTCCTCTGCTAAAGCTGTTAATACAAAGCTTTTCAATTTTGTCTCCAGCAGATTTTTGTTGAATAAGAGCATAAAACTGGCACATCTTTGGCAGAATGTTATAAGAATGACCTTTAGGCCACATAGTAATATTCCTCTCCTCAGAAACTTCTTGAGTTGAGCCACCACTGTTAAAATCACCCTCATCCCCACTGTCACTTCTATTAGTGTGGCCTATTAAGCCTAACTTAACGTTTTCCCAATCCAAAGCCCTCAAATCCACATGCCTCCAAACAGAAAAATGATCAGGCCTATAAACAGCAGTACTTTAATCCCTGGTACCAACTTCTGTCTTAGTCAGTATCCTATTGCTGTGAAGGGACACCATGACCACAGAAACTTATGCAATGAAAAGCATTTAATTGTCACTAGCTTACAGTTCAGAGGTTTATTCCAATATAGTCATTTTGAAAATCATGACTGCACACAGGCAGACAGGGTACTGGAGAGGTAGCTGAGAGTTCAGTATTTACCAGGAAGAGAGAAACTCTCTCTCTCTCTCTCTCTCTCTCTCTCTCTCTCTCTCTGTGTGTGTGTGTGTGTGTGTGTGTGTGTGTGTGTGTGTGTGTGTGTATGTTTGTATGCTGTTGAGGTGAAATATCATGGGCTTTCTTGTCCATCCCTGACAATCTTTCTCTTCTTTTAACCCATCACTCTCATTTTGTCTTTATCATGGTTTCTGTCTTTTCTAGATCTACTGGGGGGAAGGCACTATGTAGACAATTCCAAGTTGAGATATTTTTAGATTCTCAACCCCGACCATAGTCCTGTTTTAGCAGATTATGTTTTAACCTAATCAAGCTCCTATCCTTTAGGTGTGTTCTCTATTCTGCTTCCTATACCTTTCATGGATGTCATGTTCTTTAATTGTCACTTGTGACAATGTATTCTTTGATATCAGCCTATGTCCTATTTTGCTAGCATACCTTTTTAGTATTTTGTTTATAATAGATGCTAGTTTAATGCTAGAGAGAGAGAGAAAGAAAGATCCCTTGTTGACCTCATCATTTATTTAAATGTCTCAGTTTTGACAGGCAAGATTCTAGAATCATCTGTCATCTCCTGAAATAGAAGGTTAGAAGGAAGCCATGGCCCAATAAAATTATTTTTAGCATCTATGGGATTTTTTTTTTTTCATTTTGTCTCCATCTGCTCATCATGATGGGATTCAGCTCTTGTCTTTGCTTTTCCTTCTAGAAAATATTATGAGGGATGCTGAGGACTTCATGCTTTGGGCAGAGACACAGTGCCATTGGAATTAGAAATTGCCACTTCTGAGAGGATGCTGGGAATCTGCAGAGGGAGACGGAAATTCTTGGCTGCCTCTTTGAGTCTGCTCTGCATCCCAGCCATCACCTGGATTTACTTGTTTGCTGGGAGCTTTGAAGGTAAGAACAAAAGCCAGGTGAAAGGGAAATTGGGAGGGCAAGGGAGGACAGGCTATTACAGAGCCTTAGAAAAAGCCTGGAAGCCCTAGTGTTCCTTGGGTAAACTATTGAATTAATGTTGCTTGTCATGAGAAATGACATCTAGCATCCCACAGGTAGTTGGAGGAAGTTAGCAAGGTGAGGAATGAAAGAAAAAAAACTAGACTAAATTAAAATATACATTTCTGTAGTGACAGGGAGTGGGTAGACAGATGTCCAAAGCCTGTTTGGTCACATGGTCCCTGTGCTAACACAGGGGAGAAAGCTCAACCTTGATGAATGTCTTGGCTTTCCTGAAACCAGGTACTCCCTTCTTTGATCTGTCTAGTCATTTGTTCACACATTCAATGTTTTCTTGCTTGTTGACATCCTCAGTAAACCTAATGCTGAGAATAGGAAGATAACAGATTGAGTCATACACTCTGTCATGGAGGAGACAGACAGGTAGGCGTGTATGCTGTAATAGGGAAGGCAGAGTTCTAGGGGAGAGGCTTGTAGGGGCCATCAGGCTCAGGCTGGGGATGAAAGATTATCCTTCATACTGATGAGAACTTTGGGGATGATGCACATGAATTGCCTTCCCTGAACAAATAAAAGGGAATGACATTTTTTGCCACTCTCCAGAAATGAACAGGAAAGACAAGCCCCACCATTCTCCCAGCCAGCTATTTTGAATGTAGTGTAATAATATCTTGATTGTTGGTGATTCTATCACTGCTTCAGGGAGGGAGGGTGGTGTAGATGTGGAGACTCCCTTTTTTAATTTGTTACACACTTGAATTAGAAAAAAAAAAAACCTGCATGATAGTCTGTGTCAACAATGTCACTACTATGTGTATGAACATTTCCTTGGTGCATAATTTTCTTGACCGCTCAAGGCTACCTTTTAATTAGGTGCTTGGCTCTACATTTGGAGCTTGTGTTAGAAAGGCTGTATATGAAGATGACAGAGCGATGCACTTGCTGAACAGAGGTGATTTTTTTATTTAAATATGTATTATTTTTAGTTATGTATAGTGAGTATATCTGCATTTGAGTGTGTGCACATGAGTGCAAATGCCCAAGTAGGCCAGAGATGTTAGATACCCTGGAGTTGGAGTTACAGACAGTTGTAAGCTGCCTGATGTGAGAGCTGGGAACTGAACTTTCTTCCTCCTGAAGAGTATCAAGTGCTTTTCACAGCTGAGCCATCTGTCTCAACCTCAGAGTGGGTTGATTCTAGATACTATTATGTAGACTGGAGCCATGGGTAGATATTGGATTTTGGCAAGGAATTTTACTAGATGCTATGGGACCTTTATGCTTTGAGGTTGTAGAATTAATTTTGTTTCAATTCTAAAACATTAATTTATTCTTCGATGGTTTTATACATACATATGATTCATCATAGGCACACCCATCCCTCCACCCTCTCTTTTCATCTGCTCATACCCACCAACCCCCTTTTCCTTCTATCAAGTCTCTGTCTCATTTTTGTATCATTTGTTTTTGCTTAATAATGTACTGAGTTTAATGATGGTTATCATGAGCATTGGTGCATTAGTAATAATAGTGATTGTGATTCTCTAGTATCTTTCATCTGCCATTAGCTGCACTCTCTGGTGGCCCCTTCCCCATCTATGAATGAATTTATTGATTCAGTCATCTTGTGTGAACTCTCTGTCAGCAGTCGTAGCTGCTTTGAGTTCATGAGTGTCATGTCCATGTTATGCCCATAAGACTGTTGTTAAAGGCCCTTCTCTTTATTCTTTAGCTATTATGTTCTTTCCAACCCCTCTTCCATGACATTCCCTAGCTGTTGGGGGTGGGGTGATGATATGCATGTCCTATTTAATGCTAACCATTTCATAGTCACTTGTTCTAGTACCTTTATTGCTCATGATTCTGGGCCTTAACTGTCATTCTGTCATGTTCTTGTATCCTTTTCCTATCAAGTTGGAACTGTAGCATGCAAGGTCTAACACTGGGGGAAAGACTACTGTAGAATTTTGATTCATACTCAGTAGACAAAAAAGTCTGAACTAATCTTGGGGAAAAATTATTTGTTAATGAGATAGTTTAGTTCTTACATACTTGATGAGGTCAAGAATAACCTATAGGACAAACCCCTGGATATACCTGTTTGGGAGTTCCTAGATTGCTTTAGTTTACTGCAGGTAGTACCATTCCAAGAGCTGGGGCCCTAGAGTGAATCAAAAGGAGAAAGCAAGGTGAGCACAAGGGTTCGTTTTTCTTTGCTTGCTGCTATGCAATGTGACCAGCTGCCTCAACCTCCTGCCACCATGCCTTTCCTGCTGTAATGCATTTAAGTAACCTGATCCAAGTTAAGCCCTTCCTTCCTTAGGGTGCTTTTGTCAAGTGTTTGGACACAGCAACAAGAAAAGCAACTAATACGAGTGGTTAATACAGTAGAGTTACAGTATAGATTGAAGACAGGGTTGGGTCAGGTTGCTTAGATGGTGTTGGTTTTCCTAGATCTCCCTTCATTCCTCTGGTTGGCTTCTCTGCATTGACTTCTCTCCAGATAATGTTTCTTATATGGAGGACATTTGAGGATTGCTCTGTGCCTGGCTGCAATGAGCTGTCTGAGAAGGTTGTGAAATGCCCCTAGGAGAGATGTGGAAGCAGAAATTCATTGTCCTGAGATAGGGGTAATCATCTAGGATGACTTGCATGACCTGACTCTATGATCTGTAGACTTCAGAGGAGTGGCCACTAGCAGTCGAAAGTCATCTTTTTGTGACATACCCTGCCTGTTGCTGCTGATACCAGTTTCCTTAAAGGAGGTGCTGAACATAACATTCTTCTCTGTTATTAATCATCACAGTGCTCTCTATGCCCCACTCCCTGACACTCATAAGTCTTTTGCTTTATAGTAGGAGGTACCATAAATAACAGAGGGTTGCTACCTGAATTAGTGGAATTATGAATCATGTTTTCAGTGGGCTTGCTTATTTTCCAACTCTGGTTAATTTCATTGGGTTTCCTGAGCGCAGAGCCCAGAATTTCATTGCATTTCACTGATTGTTTCGATTAATCTTCCTGCCAAGCTGCCTGAACCCTGTTGCCACATGGGCGTTTTCCACCAGGCCACCCGAGTTCCACCCGCCACCTCTTTAAGGTCCCAAGTAACATACGGAGACTTATATTAGGTCCAAATGCTGCTTGGCCAATGACTAGGATTTCTCATCTGCTATTTCAGTCTTAATTATCAACCATAACATAAGACTTATGGAGGATGCGGATTGTATTCTGTTTTCCTGGTGGTCATATGGTGACTCCAGAGCAGACAGCAGGAGCAAGAGCAAGAGCAAGAGCAAGAGGACGATTTCCTTCTTTTCCCTGCTTATATTCTGAGTCTGCCTGCTATGTGACTTCCTGCCTGGATCGCAAGACTTTTTACTCCATTTCTCAGAATCCTCCTCGACTCCTAGTCCCATCTATCTTATTCTCCTATTGGCCAACAGTACTTTATTTGTCAACCAATAAGACAAACACATATACAGAAGGACTGTATCATCTCCTCTTTTTTGTTTAAATAAAACGAGGGGTAACTTATATTTTATATTAACTGAAGAAAACTATAGCCATAACGATCTGTCTTCAACTCCATCAAAGTCCACAGAAGGATAATATATAAACTCTAGAGTAAACAGAGACATCTCACTACCTGGACAGTCACCCAAAGTTCTTCTGTAATGTTGGAACAGCCAGCTTCAGCCCTTAGGCCACAGTTTGTCTGTCATACCTCTCCATTTTAGCAGGAACCCTTCAGGATTGTTCATCTTGTTTTGTAAGTTCAACGGTCACTTTCGTGTGGGTCCTGCATGTCCAGTTTATACAGCAACAAACAGTCCAGGCAAGAGCAGAATCTTGCCCTCCCTGTTGAAAGAAAACTCCATAATGAGTTTATTCAATGCCCATCCTCCTTTCTGAAGTAATTGGTGTGTCAAGAACAGTTGTGTCTCACTGTCAAGAAAAACCCTCAACCATTTAAATGCCACATATTCTGTAGGTCTTTGAAAGGTTTGAAGAATGTTTATCCATCTCAAATACATCTTTGTATATGTAAAAAACCTAACTAACCTAACTGTAGTTTGTGACTATTATAGGTGACTACACAATCTATAGGTGACTATACATTTTAAAAGATCTGTATAAACACAATACCTAAACAAGAGGAGACAAATACATATCACAAAATTGACCTTAAAGTTGTATCAATAAATGAAAATCCACACCAATGTAAAATATTCATTTCCATATCCTATTCCCCTTTTTTTCCTTTAAAAAGAGATTTACTGTGATCATTACCATTTGTGACTAACCCCATTTAAATGAAAACAAACATTTATAAACAATATTTGGGAATTTGGGCATTGTTCATTCCAAACTGCTTCCTGCTAGTTGGGGGCGATGTGTATACCATGAGGATCATGATAAAGCACTCTATTTTTGGCCTCTGCTTCTGGAGTGGTGGGATTAAAGGCGTGTGCCATCACACGCAGCTACTCTTATTTCCTCCTGTTTCTTTTTCTCTCACAATCCTACAATATTTTTAAACATACTGTAAACCTTTACAGGTTTTTCTTCATCTGAATCTGTCTTTACTGTAAATCTTTTCCCTTTTCTTGCCATGCAATCTTTTATCTGTTAAACAACACCGCCAAAATTAAAGCTGCGGCAGCCGCTGTCTTTCAAAGATGTCGGGGGCATGTTTACTGCCAGCTCTGAGACCTGTGCTCACTGCCTTGGTCTATACTGCAGTCAAGCAGCATGCTGCACGCTTGGAGATGTGGCCACTACCACTGCCAGCTTCTTGGGTCACGAACCCATGACCCTGGGTTTCAAGAGTCTCATTCTCTACCAACTGAGCTAGCCGGGCCTCTTAAAAAGATGCCCTGTGGATTTTTTGGCTTAGGCTAATTCAGGAAACCCCTCTTAAAAGAACCACTTGAGTC